CACACACACACACACACACAGACACACACACACAGTTCAAGGGAAGGGAAATGCTCGTCTACTTCTATCACTGCCCTCTGGAAACACTCCTCTCCATCGCCTCCCTCGGAGAGTTGCGTGTGAAGAGGATTCAGTGGATTCGCTGTGATAATATTCAAAATCTTGAAACTGAGAACTCACCCCGTCCTCGTCCTCGATGATGTCCTTCCCTATGGAGGCCAGAGTCGTCCATTTGCAGTTGTTAGTGGCTCTGACCGCGCAGCGTTTGTGGGCTTTGAATTTGCAAACTGAAAAACAAACGTTTGACACACATTTAAAAGCGGCAGATTCATACGAAAGAAAGAAATTCAGAAAATGCTTTGATGAGCAGCTTGATTGAAGCGGAGTGATATTTAATTATGAAACAATAAAAATATTATAAATCCATTTAAAACCTTCAATGCAACATTTCATAGATTTTTTTTTTTTTTTCCACTCTGGAATCTCTGATGCGTGATTCAGAAACAGACACCCCCTGAAAACCGCTGTGTTCTAAATGAATCAGGCTCTGATGAGACGTCAGTGGGCGTAATCCCTAACCTGAGCTGCACTTATACCTTCTGCATCTGACACACAGAAGCAAATCCACCCAGGTAGAAAAAGACCTAAACCCTGCATCACACACACAGACCTGCAGCAGAGTCTCAGTGTTACATCCACACGCGTGCCCAGGTTCTGATGCACATGCACGTGTTTCTGTAACATGCTACAAACAGCCAGCTCTATCGTCAGTGGAACACGCGTAACCTCGACACATTAGCAGAGCAGGCTACGATAAAACAAACCACTTGACCGATAATGTTTGTTTTTCTTTCCACTTCAACAGGTCAACAATCACAGTTGAGCCTCAGTTTGTATCAGTGAACACGGACACTTCAGAATCTGCAACTGTCGTTTGCCGATAACCAAAACTTTTAATTTTACAGGATGAATAACTTAATTTTCTTTTCATTCAAGTTTTGACATATTTGGTTGTATTTGTGTTTTCTCGTTATTTGTGTTAAAGTTCATGGTTAAACTGTAAAAATATCACATTTCCATTTAATCTCTTCATCGTAAGAGTTTGATTACGACAGCTTTAAAATCATTGCCAATGTTTTTAAGATGTATAAAAGTTTGGCGGCGGACATTTTTTAATCCCCAAGATCAGTATCAGCATCACCCCCCAAAAGATCCCCATGGATCAGGCTCGAGTTTCTCTCTCACCTGCTCACCACAGGCGCCTCCTTTGCAGACTTCTCACATTCTGCCTGTTGACAGAAAGTTCTTTAACTTAAACATGTAAATATTAAATGAATTGGTTTTCATTTAACATGATACCGTTCCAACATCTGCTACCTGCGGCTCGTCCTGGTGGACGAAGATATACAAAGGTCCGTGTCCAGAAATCCTGAGCACCTGCTCTCCCGTCCAACCGTCTGCGGGGGTGTTAGGGACAAACAGAACCCTGGATCCCTGCAAACACTGGGAACACAAACCTCCACAAATTAATACACTAGAAATTAACTAAAATGCTGAAGCAATGAAATTAAACTCAGGATTTCTTGACTCCAAACAGCTTTATTAAGTCTCCTACCAGGAAGAAAATTAATCATAACTGAAGTATTTAAATATTTGATTTTAAAATTCTGTCCTCACTCACACGACCGACGTTCGACTGATGTTATAGATTCCTGTTGAAATTATTTTTAAAAATCTTGAGGTAAATTCCAATAATTGTGTGTCCTGTTAAAACTGTACATATTAATTTAACTCTTTTATATTTTGAATGAGTGAATATAAAAATTCACAATACACACCTGTAGATACACGAAGGAAAACCTCTGTCTGGCAAACTTCTCCCTGAAGAGCAGCGCCAGCCGACTCTCCATCTGATTGGCCGACCAACTGTAGTCGATGGTGATGCGAGCCGTCGTTCCCATGGTGACCAGAGCTGCTCTTTCCTTGCCTTGAGGAACGAGGTGTCTGCAGAGACAGAGCGGAAATATTTACCTGCTTATTTCAAAATAAAATACAAAAAAAAAAAAGGAGACAAGAAAAAGAAACGAGTCACAGTTAGTGGTCCTTCAGCATTCTTTTATTTTTTATTTTTTGTACACACAAAAAAATACCTGACATTTAAAATCAACTTGAAATGAGGTCATTGCTTGTTTTTAGCCTGAACGATTCTCCTCTGGAGCCACATTCAGGCGTGGATCACTTGGCGCGGACATTGTTCCAATTGATTTGGATTTGGCCGCAAAGCTGTTTAACCCAGAAAGTGTTTTGTGGACTCAAACACTTCACCCGCCCCTCCATCGGCACAGTGGTGAGTAGATAACGAGTGAATTTTCATTTTCAGGTGAACTATCCCTTTAATGGTTGCTCTGTATCTGTCTGAAATGGAAAGGGTTCATCCTCTGAGGAAACTCAGAAGTTCCAAACATTCTGATGGTGACGGGGGATATTATCTGCCAGAGACCACAAAGGTGATCAAATACAAAGAGCAGTCAACAGGCTGATGAGGACTTCAGATATTTGCTCTGCAGAAAACTCTGGTTCACTAATTCTTCTTGAGGGGACACACATTCACCTCTCCAGCTGGGCCAGGTCAGGTTCTCTGGGCAGACACACCACGTCTTTGACCACCAGTCCGGTTCTCTGTGGAACCAGTCTCCTCCATTTCACACGTCTCACTTTGTTTGGCAACAGCTGCAACAGACAAATACTGACAAATGTAATTTAACCACAAAACTTTCTTCAGAATCTTCACTTCGGACGCTAAATTCATTTTCTTTTACTTTTACTTTTTAATTAAAAACCCTCGAGGGAAGCGGAAAATTAAGAGATCTTAAGATTTTGGCTGCGAGTATCACAGGAAACAACTGAAGCACAAATGATCATTATTGGTTGACATCAACAGATAATTAATCCAAGACAAAAAGAATTGAAGTAACACAAACAAATGGCAAACTTCTTTTGTACATTTGATTATATATTCAAGTTTAAAATGTACTTTAAGTTGATTTTGATGTGTGAGTGACACCAATACCACTTTACTCTATGATGGGATTTAGCTCTAATGCTTTTCAGACTGTGATACACAAACTGAACAGACAATAGATTGATTTGACAAACTGATTCATTCACTGAGTAACAAACTGACGTCATTTAAACCCAGCTGCTCCTCACTGTTCTCAGGGTTCGTGTATAAAAGAGACTGAATTTGCTTGATCACTGCTACTGATTAAAAGTTCAATACATGATCCCAGCAGAGAAGATTTAAAACATGGAGGCGAGTGAAGGTTTAATTCATCAGGAGATCCACAAATCTGTGCATTTGAATCCAGATGTGTATATAAATATATATAAAAATATATAAAGGATCATCTACCTCCACAAATTCTCTCCCAGACACTTTGCAGGAAGGAAGCACCTGCAGAGAGGCACAGAAAGAAAAGAGGTTTCAATAAACAGAAACATGTTATATAAAGACATATAAATATAAATCTTCATCACTCACCTCCATTTCTATCTCTATCTCCTCCATGAAGCCTGAAGGGACAGGGGTGCAGTGCTCGGTCTCCTCCCTGGCCGGGGGCTCAGATCTGGGCCCGTCCTGCTGCCCGGGGTGGGTCTGGACCTGGGTCTGGACCTCAGGCTCTGGTTCCTTGTCACAGTCGGGGACCAGAGGATGCTCCAGGTGTCTCTGAGAACAAGACAAGGAAGAGGAGGTTAAACCACAGAACTAACAGCACCACAGTTTATATGTATAAGTGTAGACCGTGTGTTTCTTGCTGCAGTCTTTGTCTGAAATGTGATACTGAAGTTGTTGTAATGAAGAATCTTTATCTTAATCTTATTTTGGTTTATGACCCTTGAAAACAGGACAATGCCTCGATGTCCAGTTATAATACGATCAATATAGCAAAGGTCTAATACATCAATTCAATGCTGATGCAAGTGTTAAACCACAAAGAGTTAAAAACCATATCGTCCACCCCTGTAGTGTCTCAGTGAATCCAGAAGAACGGGGAAGTTATTTTCTTTCACTGTACAGTTGAAATGATCTGAGCATCTTAAAAACCAGGACAAACAAAAGTAAAGCTCAGATTCCAGAAGGAAGAAGTGAAAAAAAACTGTTAAATCCAAATCTGAAACAATGAGCTCGACTGTTTTATGGCTTTAAACTCATCAGTTCCTCCTGAAGACAACATTGAGACACGTGAGCCGCCTGCAGAGATCTGCTCTAGAGTTTGAGTTCAGTTGAAGCTGCAGTGATTCAGACGACACACCTGGTGGAAGATGTGTTCCTCCTGCTGCTCCTGTGTTGTTATCACCGTACACAGCTCCTCTGAGGAGAACAGCTTCATCTCTATGTTTTCTGTCATGGTCGGCGACGTCGTCTTCATCTCTCCCAACTTCATCTGTTCACACACAAAACTATTCTTTTTGTTTTTACAATCCTGCTCCTTGTCAGATCTTCTCCTTCCTCAACCACTCTTTCTTTCTCTTTATCCCTTTGTTCTCAGTCTTCTCAGCCCTCTCTTTTGTCTCCGTGCCTTGTCATGCTTTCCATGTCTCCTCACAAAGCTGCAGAACCTCCAGATATCCCTCAGGAGGAGTGGGAGGAGGAGGAGAAGGTGGTGGTCTTCCAAACATGTGAACAGCTGAGCTCTTATTACCTCAAGGTGAGATCCATCAGGGTCCACAGCTCTGATTGGCTCCGGGTCGTCCTCTCCGGCTGTGATTGGTCCAGTGAGGACAGCTCTGAAGGCCTCATTGGTTCAGAGGCTTGAGGAGAAGCTCTGGTTGGTTCGGCTTCATCTTTGGTATTAAAACATGTGAACTGAGTATTTAATAGAATACTCAATGTAGATCAGCCACACTTCACACATCCTTTTGTTTTCATCATCAACCCGATGATTGAATCACTTTTACTTGATTACTTATTCTAATTCAAATATTTGTACCATGTTTCAAAAATACTACATAGATATAAAATATGAAAAAACAGACTTATATAAATTTCCCATAAAACCCTTTAAAGTATTTTATTCTATGCTTTTACTGCATTTTTTAAAGAAAACTCGTAAATGAGGACTTCCTGAACTTTGCTTCTAAACATTAACAGGCGTCATGACTGACAGAATAACTTGATGACTCTGATCTAATCTTCACATTTGGAACAAAGACAAAAAAGTGCTGAGTGTTTGTGTAGAGTCACACAGTCACACACCCTCTTTCTGGTGAAACTGAGGTGACACAACACAACTCACGCACACAATATGAACTGTAATCAATGTTGGTCAACCGAAGCAGCAGCAGCAGCACAACATTCCTTTATCCTGCAGGAGCGATCGTTGACGCCTGACTTCAGTATCAGCAGCTTCATGCAACTCATGTGGACTTTAAATAAGATAAAAAAGAGTGAATGCATTTTTCTGCCTTTGTGAAATCTCAGATATCTGATGAGATTTACTGATGATATATAACTAAGCTGTGAAACCATATCACAATATAGAACATATCGGAGTGGGTCCTTGCAGTTATAAATAACACAACAAAACACGAAGCTCTCAAGCTCGTCACAAAAAACTAATTGTTGAGCAAATCACCAAAATACTTCCTGGTACTGTTTATCTTATTATGTTACCGTCACCTGACAAAGCCAGAGTCCGAGGGTGTGGTTCAGATCACTGGGTGCAGTACAGGTCATTAACCCTGCCTCCTCCAAGTTAGTAGATGGAGTTTCTAATAAGTTTTGGTTTTAATTAATCATTAATTGCTGTAAAAACAGAGTAACACCTGCTGATCGACAGCTGAGCCTGACTCACGATTGATCGAGCAGGTTTGTGGGTGGGACCTCAATGCTGCGGCTCCACCGTCACCGCTCCAAAAAAATCGCAAGATGGCCGGTTAGTTATTTCATCTTCTAGTTTGTTGAACCAGGAGCAGGAGGAGGTGTCGTTCATCTTTATTCAGCGTCCATACAAAGTGTGGTTTTACAGTGATCTTGATATTTCCTAACCATGTCGTGTTAATACTGACGCCGTGATGATATGAAGTAATAATACTGTTAAGATCTGTGATTTACGGTGTTGCCGGGGCCTCGTTACAGTTTTTGGTTTGGCTGTTCATCGTGTTCTTATTCTAGAATCAAGATATTTTTCTTTCAGTGATGAATCATCTTCAGCACAGTGATGAATCATCTTCAGCACAGACTCGGAGGCTGAGTGGAACACTGCGTGTCTCAGGTCAGCAGGTGTCTCTGGCCACACGTCAACAAGTGAGGCAGGAAGTACGATGCCGTGCCGTCGTCAGGTATGAGCTCCAGGAACTGTGCCGGGCTGGTCTCCGTGGCAACCACTACCAGCGTCTCTGTTGGGATGAAAGCCACATTAAAAAAGTTGTTTGTAACTAACTCACGTGTTTAGTTCATTACATATACATTTTACTAACTTCTAAACAATTTATTTCAACTTTGAATTGGTTTATTTTAGTGACTGACATTGTTCTTGTCTTTATCTTTATCTTTGTGTATGTGAGCAAAATGTGGCTCTAAAGTGTGTTTCTCATTTTGCTTCTCCACACTTTAAGTTTTATTCTAAGATATATTTCGACCGACTGTGCTCTGGGGAATGCTTCTACCTTTGAGAGCAGCCAGTAGGATGCTGTTGTCGGCTGCAGCTCTCGTCCGATTACACAGTTCTGGGAGCAGCTTCTTCCACCATAACGCCTGCAGGGATCCAACATGGCCGTCAGACAGACAACAGAAACTGGTCATGTCAAACGAAACTCAAATGCAGTCGGGACGCACCATGTTCCTGTCCTGCAGATGGTGATTGGCGAAGGCTATGATGGCCTGAGGACATCTGTCCAGCAACTCCTCTATGCAGCTGTCAAACTGCCCCCTTCTGGTTGCGCAGAGGAGGTGCAGGCTGAAGCCCCACAGGGTTTCCTCCGACAGGCGCTCCAACAGAGGGAGGACAGAACCAATGGACATGGACGGACCACACAGGAGAGACTGCAGAGAAGTACAGGGATTAATTAGAGTTAAAACCACTGCACACGGAAGCTGAATGAGAAATAATGTCAAGTTTTACAAAAATAAAATAAAACTTTACATTTCAATTCAAAAAGAAATCAAAAACACACCCACGCTCAATTCTTCCCCTCCCCCACCTAATGTAGTAAAGATTCTATGTTTTAAATGTCGTTATATTTCTAAACTTACGACCTAAAGTTGTTTTCTATTTGAAAAATGTATAAATTGTTGAATTAACCGATGTTACCTTCAAATCTCTTGGTCTGATAATTGTTGTAAAAGAATATTGATAATTGGAACAAAAAAAAAAAACTGTGTGTTACACGACATTTGATCAGTTAACAGGATGTTGAGACGGCTGCATTGTTGTCATTTAAGTTTTGTATATGTGCGTATGAATCGTTTTTCACAAATTACCTGCAGTTTGTGTAACGCCTCCTGGTGTTGGAAGATGGTAGTGTGAGCGGGACACAGAACAGTGAGCCACGGGTACAAAGCACCGTAATGGGAGCTGGAGTTGATCTGAAACACACAAAGATGCTGTCAACTTGGAGAAGATCCATATCTGCGTGATCAAAAGGTCGATCGTTTGTTTTGGCAGCTAAACAAATTCTTACCTGATGAAACTATAATGACAGCACTGCGTTAGTATTCCTCCGCCAACCAGTGCGGATGAAATACTTCTACATACTTTCCAGAATTACGTAAACCCACTTCTGAAAATCTGAGTCCAAGTACAACTGATCGCAAGTTGAAGAAATTCAAAACTCAGTCTAAGTGAATTTAACCTGATGTAATGAAATTCAGTCCGGGCAGTTCTTATATTCACAGGGACTTGGAGTCACTGTGACCTTGACCTTTGACCCCCAAGCCCTGACATCTAATCAGTTCATCTTTGAGTCGGACATTCTCTCGAGCTGATCTTAAGACATCAAGTGATTTTTTGATCCCTGAGTCCGAGTTAATATTTGAAGAAATTCTCTCAGGGCATTCTTGAGATATCGCATTTGCGGGAATGGGACGGTTGAACAACTAGAAAAAACAAAACGCCTCTGGCCTCAGGCTGTCGCCGCCACTGAGGCATATGAAGAGATATTCATACCAGATCTTCAGCGCTCTTCAACGACCTGCGTTTTGGACGAGTGTGAGGAAGGCTGGAGTGTGTGTCTGAGTTTGTGCGCGTCAGCCGGTCGATGTAGACAGAAGCCAGTCTGAACAGAAGCTCCTGGATGACAGCTTCCTGTGAGGAGGCCATGAGGGTCGCCTCCCAGAAATCAACCAGTAAACAGTTCTCACAGCCCAGCTCCTACACACAAACACACACACACACACACACACACACACACGCACACACACACACACATTACATGTTTTCATTGCGATTCTGGTTTCGGGATCTCTCATGTTCGACTGATTCAGGTAAACACTGCGACACACACACACACACACCTTGAATATGTGGTCAGCCTGTTCCAGCTGAGCCTTGTTGTTCTCATGCAGAGCCACCATCCCGGCCACCAGCAGTCCTGGCTGGGACTTTGCCAGCTGGCGAGTCAACGCTGTGGGACGGACGAGCGTGTGCGGGCCGCCGCCTCCACCGTGAAGCAGCAGCCTCGGCTCCTCGATGAAACCGTAAACCAGCAGCATCTGAACGAACACAAACATGGACGCACGCACACACACAGACAGACAGACAGACACACAGACAGACAAGGAGAGAGACAGACAGACAAGGAGAGAGACAGACAGACAAGGAGAGAGACAGACACACAGACACACAGAGAGACAAGGAGAGAGACAGAGAGACAGACACACAGACAGACACACAGACAGATGAAACGATAACTTTTATCTCTACAATCCTGTTCAACATAAATCAGAACAGGCAGCACTGAAGCAGATAATTTACCATATTTAGGTGCGGATGAAAAAGAAAGACAGACAGAAAGTAAGAAAGAAAGAGAGACGGAAAGACAGACAGAAAGAAAGACAGACAGAAAGTAAGAAAGACAGAAAGTAAGAAAGACAGAAAGAAAGAAAGA